TGTAAGTGTCCTTGATGAAGCAGGTCAATGTACATCCAGTCCAAAGATCTGTTTCCATCATTAGCTTGCCAGGTATATCTAAGATCACAAGCAGGAAAGGGCACTCACTGATGACTTTCCAACTATTTGCTCCAAGCATCTGGCACTCAGAGGTGCACTGCCTCAGTACACAGACCCTTCATGTTGTAATAAGGAGCTACAGGCCTCTGTGCCATTCAGGTCAACTACTTCTCTGGGCCTTCTCTGTGACAGCTTCCAGGCTGTGGAATGCTCTCCCTTGGGAGGTTGCTCCCCTCCCTTTTATCCTTCTGATGATATCTGAAGATCCACCTTTTAATAACTGGGTTCTGCATGATGGGTTTTAACTTAGCAAGTTTATTTTAAAGGTTTAAATGCTTTGAATCATTGAATATATTTTAATTATTCTTGTAGTTTAATTGCTTATCATTGCATAATTTATTATGCTTTTAATTCTACTTGTTTTAAAGTTGTGAGTCACCTTCAGGTTCTCTCATCGAGCCTGGGCCCCGGATGTCATGTGGTTAGGCATAAACAGTGGTATGGATTTCTAAGCTACTCTCCATCTCATTTTGATTATAGAGTTTCAAATACAGAATTCTTTGACATCTAAAATATCTTTAGAATACAGGAGCACAAACCCAGAATCGAAGAAGGGAGAAAACAAACTCAAGGTTACAGAACAGATCAAATAACAAGGCCTCTGCTTGACTGTGTGCGTTACACTTTGCCCTAGGCAGAGGCCCAACCTATTGCCAGCCTGGTGAAAAGAAAATTGAGCTCCACCCCACAACTTTTGCCCCACTTAATGAACTTTAAACCATCATGACTTGATTGCATAACAGGAAAGTAGCCTTTGCTCAGCATGAATGCAGACAATCTATCCATTATGCTGTTTTAAGAGGGAGATGTTAGCTGCCTTATCCAGAAAGTAGAGCTTTAAAATGGATTAACAAACCCCTCGTTAACAAATAATTCGATATCGAATAAGCCCACACTGAAGACACAGTGGACAAAATCCTCTTGTGTAAAATTACAATAATGCAAGGCAATGACACCATCAGCGGTGGGCTTTAGTTATTAAAATTGCCTACTCTACTCATCCCCCAGTCCCAAGGCTCCCTCTGGATCCCTTTTGATCAAGGGAAACCTTTGGGAGCCTTCAAAGGAGCTTTTAAGACCCCCAAATTGCTGCCTTAGGGATCACAGCCATCAGCAGTGATTTTCAGGCAATAAGGACTCCTCTAGCACCAGTCTAAACATCAAAACAAAAAGCAGTGTGTACTGCTTGTATACCACCCCGTAGTGCTTAAAGCTCTCTTTGGGTGAGAGAAAATTAAATTGCATCCTAAAATTTAATTATGCAGGATACACATTGCCCCTCCTCCTGCCTGCAAGCCAGATACTCAACCAACCTTAGAGGATAAAAGTTTGAGCCAACTCTGAGCCAGCTAACTAACCCATCGAACTCAGGTCATGAGCACTGCAGTACAGCCATTTAACCTCTGCACTACAAGGCATCACCAACTTGCACAGGAGTAACTTCATCATTACCATATTCTTAGTACTGATACAAAAGGATTTGGGCCTATATCAATTTAATTCAGTACTGTATTGTTCAGGACCTTATAATGCTATTTAGCAACATTTAGAAACAATTTAAAGGAAATTGTCTTCCTGAAGCTGCTGTTTCCATTTCAGTTATATAACAGACACAGAATAGTCAAGCTGAAAAATCTCTGAGTCTTCTAGCCAGGAGGACCCTGTCCACTTGACAGATCTGATGAATCAGTTCTGTACTGTATAGATTAGCGTTTTTAAATAACATGCCACAGGGACAGAAGAGGTAGAAAAACACAGTAGGCTCCAGTTTTAGCTCCAGTTTTCATAAGACCATTCTAATTACAAAAAGCACATTGATGATAAAAAGGATCACCACTTCAGTTTAATTATTGAGAAATTTCCTCCTAATTCATAATTAGATAACATGTAAATAGGATCAAATACAAAGTCAGTACATACAAAATATTGTGTATACCCTGTAGGAACTTAACCCTTTTGCTACTTTAGCAGCTAACCTCTGGGACAAGTGTTTGGGGAACTCTTGCCTTCCTGTCCAGTACAGTGGGCCCTCAACTTACGAACATAATCCATTGTGGAAGTCCGTTAGTAACCCGAAAGGTTCGTAACTCAAATCGGCATTTCCCATAGGAATGCAATGAAAACCATTTAATCAGTTCCGGCTGTTTTTGGTTCTTAAGTCGAGGGGCGTTTTGCAAGTCATTAGTTCCCATAGGAACTAATGCAAAGCTGCTTTATCTGTTCCTACCTCTAAGAGCAGAATATTTTTCTTTTTTCTTTCCCTTTTTTCAGTTCATAACTCGATTCCACATTCGCAAGTAGGGTGTATAGTTTCCTATGAGATCGGGTTCATAACCCAAAACGTTTGCAACTAGGGCCGTTGTAAGTCGAGGGCCCACTGTACGTGACTGTTGACTGTTCCCTAGCTCAGTGCCAGAAATGAAGGCAGTCCTCATCACAAGGAGCCATTTAAGCACAAGAGCACAACAACCTCGTACTTTGGACTTGACTTATAGTAGCACTTAGTGAAATAATCATTTACCACCACTTTACACCAGTATTTTTGTTTCCTTTGAAAGGAGCGCCTAGTTTTATCAGAAGAAAATCTTTTTGCTTTCGAAAAAAGGCAATCAGATTAGTGTAAGATACAATAGTCAATGCTCCATGCCCAGCTCCACCATTTCTACTATCAGAAATGGTTAAAACTGTTGGGAACTGTATTCCAACAATGTCTGGAATGACCCTGTTCACCCTTGTTTTAAAAGATCAAATAATTTTTTGAGGTTGTTTCTGTGAATTCACTTTTTCAAACATATAAATAACCAAACACTACACACGTCAGTCAGATGCAATTTCATACTACTTTGTAGAAGAAACAAAATGTGGTTGTATCACATTGCCATAGGTGAAATGTGGTGGTTCCAAACATACGTCGTCGTTTAGTTGTTTAGTCGTGTCCAACCCTTGCCATAGTTTGCTGTGGTCCACACAGTCAAAGGCTTTTGCACAGTCAATGAAGCAGAAGTAGATATTTTTCTGGAACTCTCTGGCTTTCCTATAATCCATCGCATGTTAGCAATTTGGTCTCTAGTTCCTCTGCCCCTTCGGAATCCAGCTTATACTTCTCGGAGTTCTCAGTCCACATACTGCTGAAGCCTATCTTGTAGGATTTTGAGCATAACCTTGCTAGCATGTGAAATGAGTGCAATTGTACGGTAGTTGGAGCATTCTTTGGCTCTTCTTTGATGTCCCAGCTCCTTATCCGTGTTTACATACGGGGCTATTATTAGCATGGAAGTACCATGGACAGTGCATTTCATGTTCAATAGCTTTGTTAACTCATAGTACCCTTCCCTTGAAGACAGGAAGGCCCAGCATGCTCTGGCCCAGGGAGTCACGAAGAGTCGGACACAACTAAACAACAACAACCCTTGCCTTTCTCAAAAACTATGGCCTTTTTTTGTGGGGTGGGGGGATCCTGTCTGGAACTGTCACATCATCCATAAGGTTAGCAAGATATAAAGCACATTTTCCATAAAGCTGGACATGGCAACTTCTAGTATATAGTTTGCTATGTTAGTCTTCAATTTTTTTATTTGAAATTATTTTAACATTTTAAACTATTTTTACTTTCTTTATTAGTCTAAAATACATGTGATATCAATTGTTGTACTGAAAAGACTATGCTTCAGAGAAGGTGGAGATATTTCTTACTCTTTGGTTTCAGTTTCTAATGATCCGTCGCTTATGTTGCAATGGGTGATGGGAGTCAAACTGCAGGTATTGACCAGTGTGTGTAGGTTTTCTGTAGAGCTCTATTCCTAAGCTGCTGTTGGATCCCCCCCAGTCCTTTGTCCATCTAACGAGCCTATTCAGACCAGGGGGAAGTGAAACCAACAGGGATCTCCTATACTCTTCTCAGACTGAAGAAGCTACTTGGATGAGTAGCGAAACATTTCAGCCTAATAAGAAAGAAGTCCAGTTGCCATGACTCTACTTCCAGATAACCTCACCTGGATGACTGAGAATAGTCACAAATATAAATAATTAAACCATGTTTATCTCAAGTGTTCAAAAGTCACTTAACATTCATGATTAAGTTCATAGCTGTCTGGCAGCCTGCCAAGCCACAAATGTATAGAGTCGCCTCTTGTGTTGTTGGAAAAGAGTGTTTGTGATGACCAGCTTATTCTCTTGACAAAACTCTATTAGCCTTTGTCCTGCTTCGTTCTGAACTCCAAGGCCAAACTTCCCTGTTGTTCCTTTTATCTCTTGGCTCCCTACTTTAGCATTCCAGTCCCCTAGAATGAGAAGAACATCTTTCTTTGGTGTCAGTTCTAGAAGGGTTGATGCCATCAACCTAGTGTAAATTAATGGAAAGTTCAACCCTTTCCCTTTAGAATAGTTTATTTCAATATTGAAAACTATTCTTCCTTGTAAAAGAAAGAAGGGTGAAGAGAAGCAGAAGAAAAAAAGGTAGAGAGCAACCTGAAAGCATCTGAAAACAGTCTTATAGATCCTCAGTTATACAGTTTGAGTATCCTTTAAACTCCAATTTAGATTTACAGAAATACTTCAGGAAAGTAACACTGTTTTCTTTCAAGGAGCTCATATTTGTTTCTGTTAAAATGTAACAAGAGCAAGTTTTCAAGTTTTAGGCAACATTGTGGCATCTATCATTGTTACATTTATCATTGCAAAGCAAATCTAAGGCTGCCTAGCCTGTCCAATATATTTTATTCAGGGAAGTCTTAAAGGTCTGTTGGAAACATCTACTGGCTTTGTACAACTTTTGATCTTTCAAGGCAAGCTAATGACCCATTATAAAAAATTAAGGACAATGAACATTTACTTTCCAGGACTACTTGCTATTTCATCAACCCAGCACTGAATTCAGGTACCTTTTAAACCAGTAGATCTCATCTGGATCTGCAACTCCATAATCTCTGAGTTTCATCACCATTAAAGCACTCTTCCTGATAGCTTCTTCATAGCGTTCACTGCGAGAGAGGAAATTTACATCCTCATGCTTAAAGTCTGGGTCATTCATAACAAGTGCTTCTGTAGAAGGAAAAGAAGGGCAGAGGTGAAGTTCACTGTTCAGCCAAAACATGCCCCTCACTTTAAAAAAGCAGACATCAAAATCTGTTTGCTTTGCATCAAAGTGGCCTCTCTTCTTCCTTTCTTGAGCTTGAAGCAGCAAAGAAATATGAGAGTGCTTTGACTGTTGCAAACTGAACCCTAACGGAAAAGACCAACATCAACCTTTACACGTCAGTGAAGATTCAGTATACACCTTTAAGATCTAATATTTAGAGTTTTGCAGATTGCATTAGCATGGCATCACAAAACAGATTTCAGTAGCTGTGTAATCTGTATTTAACAGGCAGGAGAAACATAGCAGAAGACTTCCAGAGGAACAGTTATATTGTTCTGTAGACTGGAGCAGAACCAACAAAGCCTTGCAAGACCTTAAGGGCTGGCAGATGTTATATGGCATGTGCTTTGTTGACTGTAGTCCATTTTAAACAGTCTAAAGCAAAAAGTTCCTAACATCTCTCAATGCTCTGGCTAACACCATAAAAGAAAAATTGGCTACCCTATCTCTTTTAGCCACATTCACAGAACAACTGATGGATGGTAAGAGAGAAGATTTGTTTGGAATCTCACTGCTCTCTCTCTGTGCATGCACACTTCTAAACCAGACTGTAATTGTTATTACAAAACTAAAAAGCGAAGTACAAAAGCCAAAATCACAAAACAGATTGATGGTTAATTAAGATACTGTCAACAAAGTGGGACAGGCAGTAATTCTGTAATGGGGAACACCTACTCATCTCAAGTCGTCTTACAAGCAGCCAAATGGTCTTGTGACTTACCACATAATATTAACCTGAAAACTCCCTGATTGCCTGTACATAAATCATACTTCTACACTGTACTTAAAATAATAAGCCAGAAGACCTTGAACTCCTACAAAATTGTTGACTTCCACATCACCATGAACTCACAGTCTAGTCTAAAGTAGTGGCTCCCATCTTGGGCAACCCAGGGGTGTTCTTGAACTGCAGTTCCCAGAAGCCTTCACCATTAGCTGTGCTGGCCGGGGTTTCTGGGAGATGCAGTCCAAGAACACCCCTGGGTTGCCCAAGGTTGAGAATCACGGGTCTAAAGCTAAATAAAAGAGGCGGCAACGTTCAGTTGACTCATTGGCCACATTGAATCCCATTGTTATTAAGCATCGGTCCAGTTAAGCAGTTGATGTATATATATACTATACTTAGCCTGAACACAGTATCGGTCAAACAATGCTTAGCGAGCAGCACTTTAGAAAAGGCATGCCTCTCTCTTGGCGATCCAGAAGGAGATAGATGCCTTTTCCAAAATACAGTTTGTGCAACAGCATAACCTGAAAAACGCACTGCCCAGAGGCATCGCATAGAAACGACTGTCCCCTTGCCAGAGGATGTCGCATCTAGCCCAGGAACATCGTCCAGGAGTCGTTTTAACCGGTCGCGGAGCGAGAGTTTCTCTTACACGCCCACCCACCCACTCCCGGCTCCCCTTCCCGTGATCAGCCAGGAGGCGGACAAGCGGCGCCCCCCCTCCTGCTCCCGCTCCTGCCCCCTGACTCCCGAAGTGCGGGCCGGCGGGCGGGCGTCGGGGGAAATCTGCCGGCCCTTCCCTCCCGGCTGGCCGAGGGGCTCTCACCGATCTCCCTGCGGCGCCGGGTCCGCTCGGCGGCCCCGTCCAAGACGTGGGTGAGGAGCTCCGTGTCGAAGGATGCCGCCTCCCGCTCCTTGCGCAGGTCCGGGTTCATGTTCGCGGCCATCGCCGAAGGGGCAGCGGCTGGTCCGACCCGCGCTCCGACGCCGAGAGAGGAGGAGGAGGAGGAAGAGGAAGACGCCGCCGCGGGAGCAGCAACAGCAACCGCCGGACCGGCAGAGAAACGGATGAACGAACAACCTCGCGAAACAGCTTCCGGGCAGGCGGGCGGGCGCGCGCGGGGGGGTCGGGGGAGGTGTATGCCGGCCCCGCCCCCACGCCCGTCACGTGAGGCGGGAGGCTTCTCACGCGCCCGCCCCAGACGTCCAATAGGGAACCACTTTGTGGTCACATGGTGCAGGAACGGCTCAGTCACCCAGGTAGGTGGGGAGAGAGAGAGAGAGAGAAGGTTGGTGAGTGGGAGGGGAGACATTGCTGAAGGAGGAGGAGGAGGAGAGAAAAAAAAGAAGCCCAGAAGAAGATGTAGCGGAGGAGGTAGGGGGATGAGGGAGCCAGGCCCCTTGGTCGTCTGTGAGTTCTTCAAGCGCCCAGCTTCCAAAAGGGTAACTGCAATGGCTCCCAAATAGATGCTAAGCCGGCTGGTGGAGCTAGCCCTTGGTTTACAATCATCCCTGCCCACTGGTTTCAGAGCTAGACCTTCGTTTAGTTCAGTGGCTCCCAACCTTGGGCAACTCAGGGGTTTCTTGAACTGCAGTTCCCAGAAGCCTTCATCATTAGCTGTGGTGGCCGGGGTTTCTGGGAGTTGAAGTCCAAGAACGCCAAATAGATGCTAAGCCGGCTGGTGGAGCTAGCCCTTGGTTTACAATCATCCCTGCCCACTGGTTTCAGAGCTAGACCTTCGTTTAGTTCAGTGGCTCCCAACCTTGGGCAACTCAGGGGTTTCTTGAACTGCAGTTCCCAGAAGCCTTCATCATTAGCTGTGGTGGCCGGGGTTTCTGGGAGTTAAAGTCCAAGAACACCCCCTGGGTCGCCCAAGGTTGGGAACCACTGGGTTAATTAGTTATGTGGCATCAAGTCGGAACTCGCTTTCAGCAACCCTAATAGGGCTTTCTAGGTAATTTTTAAATTTTATTTATATCCCGCCTATCTGGTCGATTAAGACCACTCTAGGCGGGTGGACTGGGGACAGATTGTATTTGTCTTCAGTGTGGAAGGGATTGTCACTCTCGAATTGGCCTTATCAGCCACACTAGACGCTGTTCCAAGTCCTCTGTTCAGAGCATATTACCATAGTCTCTTGAGACTGAAGGATGCCTAATCTAATCTAACATTGGGTACCTAGACATTAGTTTAAGTATACATAATAAATGAGAGCCATTGTAATGTCAGGCTAGGACTGCTGTCATGCCATATCCAACTCCCAGTGACTACTGAGGTTCTTGAGGTTATCTGAGACATTTAAGGAGTTATTTTACCATTGCTACCTCCCTGGGTGAGGTTCCATCACCAAGCAAGGATTCAGATTCATGTCTTCTGATTCAGCACTCTATCCACTACGTTACATTGGCCGTCCAAAGACTAATGAGAGCTGAGTTGAAATCCCAATAAATACAGCGGCTGCAAAAACTCACTGTGTATCTATTGTGTGACAGTGACAAAACCACTCTCTCATACTTGGATCACCTTAAGTCAGGATTGGCACATAGCACACACAAGAGAGGTTAAAGTCTTCTCTCCATCCATACCTTTTGAACTGTCCAATATCGTACTTCAAAAATAAGATAACTAACGTGTTTAGTTGGAGGATTTCTGCATTTATCATCTTATTTGTTCAGACTCTTCAGTGACTTGGGTTCACAATATTTTCACATTTCAGTCAGGCTTCTATTGCTTATGTCCTGTGCAAAAACCGAAATGTGCTCAAGAATACATAACGTTTAAAAGAAAGGCACACTAAATGCTTCCTTACTTCAAAAATAAGATAACTAACGTGTTTAGTTGGAGGATTTCTGCATTTATCATCTTATTTGTTCAGACTCTTCAGTGACTTGGGTTCACAATATTTTCACATTTCAGTCAGGCTTCTATTGCTTATGTCCTGTGCAAAAACCGAAATGTGCTCAAGAATACATAACGTTTAAAAGAAAGGCACACTAAATGCTTCCTTACAGTCAGTAAGGATGGGATCTCACCATTCTTCTACCCTGGTACTAAGTACAGGAGCTCCCCAGGGCTGTGTGCTAAGTCCCTTCCTCTATTCCCTGTACACACATGATTGCACCCAACTGTATAACACCAATGCAATTATTAAATTTGCGGATGATACGACAGTGGTGGGACTCATAAATAAGAACAATGAGTCTGCTTATAGAAAGGAAGTACAAAGGTTGATACTTTGGTGTAAAGAAAATCATCTCACACTTAACATCAAAAAAACTAAAGAACTCATAATTGATTTTAGGAGGAAGAGAAATGTACATTTACCACTGTACATAAACGGTGAGGAAGTGGAGAGAGTTGGTAGTTTTAAATTTCTGGGTACTTACATCTTAGAGGACCTCTCATGGACTATAAATGCCAACATGCTAATGAAGAAGGCACAGAAGAGGCTGTATTTCCTGAGAATGCTCGGCAAGTTAAATTTATCTCAGCATTTACTTCTGTCATACTATCGTAGCACCATTGAGAGTGTCCTAACCTATGGCATTCTGGCATGGTTTGGGAGTAGCTCTGTAGCGGACAAAAAAGCTCTACAGAGAACCATTAAAATTGCCCAGAATATCATCGGGCTCCAGCTACAACCCTGGATGACATCTTCACATCCCGCTGTCTAAGGAAATCACATAGCATCCTGAGAGACTCTTCCCATCCTGCTTATAACTTTTTGGAACTGTTACCGTCTGGCAGAAGATATAGAACAATTAAGACTCGGACCACACGTTTTCTCAATAGTTTTTATCCCAGAGCTATAATTGCAATTAATAATGAGCTTAAAGACCACCAGTAGTGAATAATTAGTTGGACTGTGTAACTTGGCCTGCGGTGTAGATGTTTGTATTTTTAGTGGGGGACTTTTAGTGGGTGGGGAGTGTTTGGGGAATTTTATGTGTGTGCATGTGTCTGGTCTCTGGGTGTCTGTGAATTTCGTTGTATGTGTATATACTTACAATGACAATAAATTATTATTATTCTATTAGATATAATATTGCTATCATCATCATCGTCATGTGTCATCTATGATGGTTTGTGACAACCCTTTTCAGAGTTTTCCATGTAGAGAACACTCAGAAGTGGTTTACCATTTCCTCTTCTGGATGTGTGTGTGTGTCTTGGGACCGTGGAGCTTTCCCTTGACTATACAGGCTGGTTCTTCTCCTTGGAGGTACAGTGGGGGAATCAAAATTCCCAGCCTCTGTGTCTGTAACCTAAACCATTGAGCTTTTTAGCTAGTGATGTGGCTATTTGCTATTATTGATATGTGCTTTCAAATTGCCTCTGACTTATTATAGTGACTCTGTGAATGAGCAATCACCAAAATGTCCTGTCTTCTTTTTAATTTTTTAAAAAACTATAACATCAACATAAACATAAAATGCATAATCCAAAATACAAATTAACTGTGTTCCCCACCACCATAAACGGGACCTCTTCCATTGCCTAGCTTTTATTAGTCTAGCTGCAGTTAATAAATTGGTAATCAATTCTTTAGTCATCTTATCATATTCCACATTCTCAAATAGTGATAACAAAGCAATCTCAGGAATAAATTCTATATCTTTTTCACATATGTCATTTAGTTCTTTAAAGATTAGTTTCCAAAATCTTTGTACTTTTTCACATTCCCACCACATATGAAAGTATGTACCAATTTCCTTCTCACATTTCCAACAGACATTCAGATAACTAGCATTAATTTTATTCAATGTTGCCGGTATTAAATACCATCTTGAGACCAATTAAATTTTTTTTCTCTTATTCTCACTGATACCATCTTGAGACCAATTAAAATTTTTTTCTCTTATTCTCACTGACATAAATCTTAAAACTCTCATTTTCCACATCTTCCTCCATTCTTCCTCATTTATTCTTTTTCCTAAGTCTTGTTCCCACACTAACTTCAATCCTTTTTTCTCACTTTCTTCTTCTAAGTCAAGCAGGAATCTATAAATTTTACTTACTGCACCCTTTACTGAATCAGTCATCTGAATATCTTTATATGTTAATAGAAATTGTTCATACTTTGTGTATTCTCTACCTTTATTATATTTCTTTACCCATTCATTAGTCCATCTTTCTAGCTGCATATAATTCAACCATGAAATATTCATATTCTGAAGGATTTGATTCATTTGATATTTCAATCTCATTTTATACAACCAGTTTTTCAATCTAATCACTTTTTTCTTTAAATAATTCCACATAAACTTTCATATTGACAGGAAAATTCTCTATTTCAGTCACTAATCCTAGTGGAGAGTTAAATGGACATAAAAATGTCCTGTCTTCAACAGCTCTGCTCAGCTATAAAACAGTAAATAAAAGCAGCAAAACTTTTAATGCCTTAATCTATGCAAACTGGACTTTTCTTCTATTACTACTCATCAATTCTTTAAATAGTGGAATGAAACTTTAGGTAGGGAAGGTAATTTTATATATTAAAACACACACACAATTTTAATAAATAGGGTATATCACATGCTATACCAGTGTGGTTAAGTGGATGAAGTGATAAACTAGGACTTTGAATCTGGCTTTGCATCTCTCCTCAGCCATGGAAACTGACTGAGGGAATGGAACTGGAAAAAAATACTATTACATTTCTCACTTACCTTGAAAGCCATGTTAGGGAAACTATAAGTCAGTTCTGACTTGACTGCACAGAACAATGATCATACAAAGATTTAGGAGTGCTGCTGAGAAATTAATGTCTAAGGTGCTTATGCAGAAGACAACCTAATACATAATGGTAAACATCCTCAACCTTCTTAAATCTACAAATAAATGTCATATCTTCCTTCCAAAATAGGGAAATGCAAAGCTGTAAATTGTTTTCTTAGAGGGGCACAGTAAGATTTTATGTAATGGGTATAAGCAAGAACAGACTGTATAGTAATCATTATTATGATCAATCAGTAAATATTAAACAAAGACAATCTGGAATCTTCTAGAACTGCTTTGAATGTGGTGAATAAAAAGTTTTGCAAACTAAAGTAAAAACACTCACTTTGTAATAGACTCCTTACCTGCTGTTGATATATTCCAAATATTCCACAAATTATAACTTCTTAAATATTTGCAAACTGTTTTGATCTTTGTAGGAGATGTTTTCAAGAGCATTTGAATGCAATGCTTCCTGCTGCCGGAGCTTATCATTTTCTTTGGGAAATAAACTCTGCATTAATCCCAGAAGGAGAGACTTTGAGAACATTTGGCAGGTCGGTGTAATTCCTATTCATTTTATTATTTTTGCTCTTGGTGAATCAGTTAATATTTTACACTACTCTCTGGCCAAAATCTTACTGAAAAATACATATGGAAATAAATTGCCTCAAAGGTGAGAAATTGCCATAAACATTGTCTGCTGCACATTGGTTATACAACAGATAATGTCTACCATTTGCATTATGCCTGCAGGAGTAACTGCCCTGTTTCCCCAGAAATAAGCCCTAGTATGATTCTTCAGGATGCTTGTAATATAAGCCCTACCCCCAAAATAAGTCCCAGTTAAGTGAAACCTCGCCCTCCACCCTTGTGCAGCAACCTGTATTTGAACAAATGTAGATTGTTGTACATGAAAAAAATCCCCTGAAAATCAGCCCTAATGCATTTTTTTTGGATCAAAAATTAATATAAGACCCTTATATTAATATAAGACCCTTGTTTTGGGGGAAACGCGGTTGTAAAATTTCACCCTCTCTCCTTCTCTCTGTCCTCCTTAGGACTTATAAGAGGAGCTCAGCAAGTAAGCAAAGGCCACATGCAAAAGCAGGTGGTCATTCATGTTCTTCTCCCCATGGGAAGCACTTGGTTTTTTCTTCTACTTTTCCCTTTCTTACTGTGTCTCTTGTGCCTTTTTTCAGGCATAGGGAACCTGTGGCCATCCAGATTTTGGATTACAGTTCCCATCAGTCCCAACCAGTATGTCAGTTGTCGTGGATAAAGATGGATGTAGTCCAGCAACTTTTGGCAGGGCAGATCCTACCTACCCCTACTGTAGCATTAAATATGCTAGCTAATTGTCTTCTATATGCTTATTTGGAGAATTAAATCCCACTGAATTAATGGGGGCTTGCTTCTGTGCATAGGACTATACTATTTGTTGTTTCTATGAACATGGTGTTCATATTTTCCAGTCTGTGTGTTGCACTAATATTCAGGGCAGACTCCAGTTCATTGCTGCTTAGTGTAAAAATATGTAGGTGTTATGCCCAGGCAACACAGATTTTATAATTTGATTGCGCAATCAGTCACACAGTTTCTATTGCAAAAAAATTGTGCAGTGTGCCAGCAGAAGTGCTACATGGATAGTAATTTATATTTTGGTCTTATTGTAGCTACTGCAGGCATAATGTTGAGTTATGCCCATGTAACTACAGTACTCAGTGTGGTTAAAAAACAAAGCTCTCAACCGAAAGCAATGAGATATGTCATCAGTTATGTGCCGCCTATTCTGGACAGTGACATTCCCCCTTCCCAGGCTTTGCAGGGTCGATATGTGATAATATTTTGTCTCTCCCCACTTAATTTTTCTTTTATTTCCCCCTTTTTAATTTTATCAATGTGCTAAGGCAAATTATTCCATTCTGTGGCCTTTGGTTTATGAAGTGCCTGAGGGCTCTGACCTGTCTCACTGAGTTGAGCTTTTAAGACTTTCTTTGTCAATGCCCACTTTTTATTCAGACTATGTCCAGAGCAATTTTTCAAGTATTTTATGTGCTTCTTTTTAAATACATGTTTCTATTTTTTATATTTTGCTTGTAATACTCCTTTTGTATGTCACTTCAGAGTATTTTGGCCCCCACAAAGCACCTAAAATTATATTCAAATAAATACAGTTTTTAATGAATTAATATAAGAAAATACTGTATCCCTAGGGATACGTCCATTAAATTTAAAGTATTCTGAAAGTTGTTGTTGTTAGTATTAATAACACTGAAGCCTAATCTTTTTTTGCCCTTCAGGCTATGTTCCTATAATACAGTCAGCTCCGAAGCCATCTTAACAGCTCAACACACTTCAGTTCAGTATCAAATCCGGATTTGTACCAAGTTTGTGGAACCATTCCAAGCCCAGCTTGGGTCTGTATATATTGTTCTGGGGGAAACTGAATATGGAGAGAGTGAGTAAATTTATGTTTTCTCATTCTGTGGTGGAAAGGTACAGTCTAGGCATTTATTTAAACTGTTTTAAACCCTCCTCCTTCAAATGCACCCAAGGTGGCTTGCAACAATTAAAAAACAGTATTTGAGATTAGTAGCAATGAGTATATAATACTAAAAGGTTCCATGAATACAGTACCAAAAAAGAAAAAAAAAAGCAAACACTAAAGCGCACTCAATGCAATAAGGTACAACAATCCAGTTTTAAAAAACCACCGAGCTCCATTCATTCAGGGAAAACTTGCCTGAAAGGGTCTTTGCCTGCTTGTGGAAGGGCAAGCACAGTCTGGCCTCCTATGGGAGGGAGTTTCAAAGTCTGGAAGTAGCAACAGAGAAGGGCCTCTTCCATGTCCCCACCAAACACACCTGTGAAGGTGGTGGGACCCTGTTTTGGGAACAGAGGGCCTAATGTCTTTATATACTCGTTCTGTTGGAAAGGAAATCAAATTAGCTCATATTTAAGTCGGTTATCTAGTCCTATTTTGTGGTTCTTTTGGTTCTTCTTGAACCTTCAGGTAGAGTAAATACGTAATCTTATCTAATTACTCTGGCTCTACATGACAATGCAACCTGTTGTATGTTTTCTGGGTCTTGCTGATTTTACTTACCCTCCCTCTCACCGCCACATCAAAAGCCCACATCAATGGACTTCAGATTCCATGAGCAGGGAAAAAACAAGAACAGGCATTTTAATCTGATTAGTCAAGCCACCTGTGCATGTGATCATGCATGTGTATCAGAAGTTTCAGTAACGTGTCACAGAAGTTTCAGTAACTTGCCACAGAACCTGGAATGTTGATAGACATCCTCATGTATCTGTACCACTCCTTTGCAGCCGGATATCCCAATTTCTTTGTATTTGTGTATATATTGGAAGGTATTTTGATAACGTGGTAAACCTGCACCACTTGAGTGTCACAATATGCAAATAACTTTGTTTGGGGAGCCCAATATCTGTGTAAGATGTCAAGTCAGACAAAATGCCAACACCCTTGTAAATTAAATAATTACAGTGATGATCATTAGTCACTGCAGTCTTTCTTAATTTAACTTTAAGGTAGATATACATCTGCCTTATCTTGATGTTTCCTAGCATTTGTTACAACTTTGTACATGCTGCAGTGCAAACTCAGTGTTGCTGATCTGGGTTGTATCCATAATTGTGGAATAGAGAAAAAAAATAGAAGAGGCAAAAGTCCTGAAAAATTTGGGAAAAAAACAGAAAATTACATGAATCTGAGTGTCAAATAAGAATTGTCCCATATGATTTGAGAACTGACTCCATTGGAGTGTATAGTATGTAGAATAGGCTCTCTCCCTCTCCTTCTCCCTCTCCCTCTCCTTCTCCCTCTCCCTCTCCTTCTCCCTCTCCCTCTCCCTCTCTCCCTCATTGGATTTCTATGGTTTTATTGAGCCTTTTGTTCTAGGCCTGGGTGAAAAATTTGCTGCCTTCTCTCTTCCCACAATATGCAAATTTCTGGCTAAGGTAATTGCTTAAACTTTGGAACAGATGCATACATGAAAAAAGGAATCCCATGCATTTACTTATGAACCAATCTTTGGGGGGAAGTAGAGAGATCAGGGGTGACCAACATACAATTTGCAGAGTCATATTTATTTATTTATTTATTTATTTATTCATTCATTCATTCATTCATTCATTCATTCATTCATTGGTTCTTCTGTTGGCTGTCCAGCCAATTTGATTCTGAACCTCTGTTTTGTATCCTATTTAATTGAGGCTTAACCTTGGGACATAAGGTTCATAATAAGGGTTCTTCTACTCCTAATTATGTTACAGTAACTTCATGCTGTATGTAGATGAGGGGAAGCTGAGGACCAGGAACAGCTTTCATTGCTATTAGCTGATGTCATATTGTATTCATGCTGTCTAGCAGTGTCATGATATGTGTATCTCTTCACAAGTAATTAAAAATTGAGTCTTCACTAAATCAGAATATTTGAAACACACTTCCAGCCTGCTGTTCCCTAGACATCTCTTGAGTGATCTGCCTAATGTACAATATTTCAGATACTGAGTAATGCTTTCCTGCTTCTATTTTTAGCCCTTAAAATGTAACAGTGTTTCTCATAAATTAAACATTATATTTACAGGTGAAGAGGTGGTGGTTAAAGCCCGTGTGTTTACATGTGCGGAAGGAATAAATCTTCAATTATTGCAGAAGGCCATAGAGGAACAGAGAAAGTATTTCCATGAGAGAAAGAAGAATCTTGAAGTAAATCCTTCTTAGTGCTGTTCTGTGAGAGGGGTTTAATATGATTTTTTTCCCTGTACTGAATATATATATATATAATTATTTCCTTGCCTTCCTTGTTTTAATGTATTTTGTATAATCCTAAAAGTTTTTTAAAGTATAATTTCTATTGTCAATTGAGGTTTCTTTTTCATTAGGCTTCGCAATTTTTAAACTAAAATGATGGAAGTGCTGTCCTATTCTAGGATTGCTTTTTGTATTGCCTTGTATTGTAAATCAGCATGTTTAGGAGACCCTTAAAAATCATGCAAATGGAAAGAGTTGTTGGAAATTTCTGGCCAGAATCCTGTTACTTACACCAATTGGCATAAGTCAAGTGGTGTAAAATGTTGTGGCAAATTGTTGCTAGTTAACAGGCAGATGTTTGTGTTTCTTATTGTATGCCAAGTCATGTGACTATTGTTCGATGAGAATTACAAGCCTCATCTTCTTTAGTAGTAATACACAGCAGTGATTTATGCTGTTTGACAGGTGTAAGTAACAGGATTGTGGCCTCTGTTTCGGATGTTGATAGGCTCTTGGTATATACTGTATACTTGTTTAGAAGTTGGTAATATTATTAATACATCATATTCTGAAGTCCTAAAAACAGCCATTCATCTTCCAGAGTGGGTTTTTAAATATTCTGTATTTTTATAGTGCAAATAAAAATTTACAGAGTTGAAATACACTTTGGTCTTCTTTTCTGTCTTAGACAGAGGCACGGAATACTTGTACTGGTGTTACTTGCCCTTCTTGTCACGCACGGAATGCTTCAGGCCTCTTACTGGGGTGGGCAGTGCTGTTGAAGTCCAATGCTGCATGAAGAGCATATCAGGGATAGCTGACTCTAGACATCGTCTTTGTCATTATGGTGTCTACACAAGACTTATATCTTAGAAAGAGTGTGTTCTAGCTGCATCTTGTGGTACAGTTTTTATAAAATGATCTATCCAAAGAAGGCTGCTTTGAGAAAAACTGAAAGATTTCCATAAGAACATCGTAAGACCTGTGCAGGAGCAGCTGAAAGCATGGCCTCCTCTTCCACAATTACCAACCAAACACCTGCAGAAAACCCACAGCAGGACATGAGTGCAGCAGCATTCTTCTGACTCCCTTTTTGTGAATGCTTCACTGCACAATTCAGATTGTCATCCATGGCCCCTGGGTGCCTGAAAGAGCATGTTCAGCCTTCTGGCTGGGTTTTGAAATCTTTAGGGGAGGCTCTTCTCTTGTTCTGCTGCCCTCACAGGCATCTTTTCAGTAACTGTTCTCAGGCTGTGGAATATCTTTCCAGTTTGAATTCTAGGCTGGTCCCCTGTTACCAACAGGCAAATACATATTTATTCAAGTGGGCTTTTGGCCACAGATCAGTTGCTGAGGGAAAAACTTTCAGCTTATAGATGCTGTGCTTTTTATTGATAAGTTTTTAATTCAGTTGTGTTTCAATATTTTAAAAAGCTGGATATAAATCCAGTCAATATCTAGTATAGCAAATTCCACAGCTCACTTATACAGTATGCTGTATGAAAAAGCACTTCTACTAAATTGATGGTCCTGCAGCTGCTCACCGTCTATTTTTCTCATACCCTCCATAATTTTGTATCTCTTTACTGTACCTTTTATAAGTGAAAAGACCTCATATGTTGTGACCATTCCTTCCAAGCGGGTCGCTTTAACACCTTGATAATTTTGGTTGTCCTTTGCAGCTTTATAATTCCATGGAAACATAGGTTAGGCATCCTTCAGTCTTGAAAGACTATGGTGACGTGCTCTGTATGGAAGACTTGGAACAGCGCCTAGTGTGGCTGAGGAGGAAACAAGCAAGCATATAATCACTCCCTTACGAAACTCCTTCAGTTTTACAGAAAAGGTCCTAGTCTCAGCATCATCTGCCCACGAAATAAAACCTGTCAGGGCAAGGCATAGAGTTGCTGTGGCAAATGCTCCAGTCGGGTGGTTTCATAGTCATGAGGAAGGTGCATAACTCTATATAGTATGAGGTCTTTTAAAAAATTGTTGTTTCATCTAAACAGAAGATAAAAGAGACATAACGTACCTCAGATTCTTTGTGAATAATTGCTCCTAGGTGCATGTTTTGTACAATTTTCTTCATAGAATAAGTAGTTAGACAGATGTACCTCTGCAGTTTCTCTGCAGTTTGCCAGGAGACCAAAGCGTCCATGTTAATAGCTACTGTCTTTGTATATGGTGATCAACCCAGTTGTGAAATTACTAGCACTATGTGCAGATTAGAGGTGTAATCCCCACCTCATAAATATTTGTTGATGGGATATGAAAACCCACTGTTTTAAGATTGGGGTTCAAATATCTGCTTGGCCATGGAAACTTCCTGGGGTCATATATTACTAAACCATTCCTTAAATATCTCACGTACCTTGGAAACATTACTAAAATCACTGTACATGTTGAAATTGACCTACTGGTATTGTTACAGGCTGTCAAATCACTTCAGACTTATAAATGAGTGTTCTAGAAAATGGAGATAATATATGCATATACTGGTGCATAATACAGACAATACACTGTTACTTTACTTTTGAGAGCTGAAAATGGAATCAAGGGACTACTTTTGTGGTATAACAATGGCCATGATATTTGCTATAGTGCTGGAGATAAAGCACGAAAGACACTTTACCAAAATTAATAATCAGGGAATAAGCTTAAGAGTGTGGTGCACCCACGTTATTTAAATTGCTGTTTAGCCCTTAAGCATATATTTAATTGCATACTAGACTTCTATACTGCTTTTGGTTACAGAAGTGGATAAATAATCTTGGGCACTATTAAAGTATGTCTGAAACAGCCCATACATCTCTTTTGATCCAGGAATGCCTATATGCTTATATTCTACCTTTCCTCCTTCAATTTATGATATTCAGCTGAAGTACTAATAAAACCAGCAGAACCTGTTTTCTCAGAGACCGTGGGCAGAAGTAGCATACTTTATGTTCTACTGCTATCTCCAAGTTACAGATAGCCCTGTGCACAGGCAAATTGAAACCAATTCAAATAAAAGTATTGGAACTTTTATTCTTAGACATAATTAGGGATGGCGCCAGAATCTATCCTCGTTAATACTCTTGCTGACTTTCTGTAATGTAATTTTTGGTGAGATATAGCATTGAAAAATATACTAGTTAATATAAATGCTGAATATAAATTGTATTTATTTATATACTATTGTTATGTGCCATCAAGTAGGGTCGTCCCCAACTTACGGCAACCCTATGAATGAGTGTCCTCAACAGCCATGCTCATTTCTTACAAACTCAAGCCTGTGGCTTCCTTTGTGGAGTCAACTCATCTCGTATTTGGTTTCCTCTTTTCTTATTGCTATCAGCCTTTCCCAGCATTATTGTATTTTCCAGAGAATCTTGCCTTTTCTTGATGTACCCAAAGTAGGACAGCCTCGTTTTCATCCTTTTTGCCTCCATAGATAATTCAGGCTTGATTTGCTCTATGACCTGTTTGTTTGTCTTTCTTTGTTTGCAGGCAGTCCAGGGTACCTGCATAGCTCTCCTCCAGCACCACATTTCAAATGAATCAATTTTTTTCTTGTCTGATATCTTTACTGTCCAAGTTTCACATCCATACAAAGTGACTCGGTATACAAGAGTTGGTTGATATTGGGTCTGCAGTGACACATCCTTACATTTGATGATATTTTCTGATTCCTTTATTTCTGTTCTTCTGAGTCTCGGTCTTCTTTTTTATTTCTTGGCTGCAGCCTCTCTTGGGATTGATGATTGGATCAAGGTATACAAAACCTTTCACTATTTCAATTTATTCATTGTTACCCTTAAAGATGTTTAGTTCTGTAGTCACAATTTTTGTTTTCTTAACATTCAACTGCAGTCTTGCTTTGTCACTTTCGTTTTTCACTTTCTCTTACAGACATTTCAAGTCATTACTGCTTTTTGCCAGTAAAATGATATCACCTGCAAATCCTAAATTATTGAGGTTTCTTCCACCAATTTTCTCTCCTCCTTCCTCTGAATCTAGTCTGGCCTTGCATATGATATGTTCTGCATACAGATTGAACAGATAAGGGGACAAATGCACCCTCACCTGACACCTTTGCCTACAGGAAACCATTCTGTCCGCTCCGTGGTAGCTTCTATGTACAACATGTAATATTAAATCTTATATGCATTTTAACATCTCCCTCTAGTGGTGGAAAAGCCTGGTTGGGTGCAGTGAATTTTGACCCTTTGGAAACCCTGTAGTCTGACAGGGAAGACAGCATGGAGGCAAATGGAAAAATAAATGAGCAGGTGGGAAGTCTTGTGATAAACTGAGAGATTAACAGTCCACCTAAGCAACAGTTTACTAATACTGTACATGACTTTTTTTTTTGGAAAAGGGTGGTGGATTGGGACTAATATTCAGCCTCTCAGTGGCTGACAGGAAATCCGGGCCTCAGGCCTTCTGCAATTAAGTAACTTTCCATAGACTTCCCCACTTCAAGGATGCCTCATCCCAGAGCACCACGTAAAGGATGGATCTTATTGAAACAGGTCTGACTCCAAACACACGGTTAGAGGAGAGACCTATTTATTTTGGAAATGGTCCCTACAAAAAGTGCATTTAGCCCTGAACCCAAGTTCAGGATTTCGCCAACAAGTGGCTGAG